CGCGGCTGCCGAGCTGGGGAGGCCGGGCGGGGGAGGGGGGCGGCGCACCCGCCCGCTGGCTCGCCGAGGTCGGACTGAGCCGCCGGAGACACCGCGCGCTGCTTGCCCTCTCTCCTCCTCGTCCTCCTCCTCTCGCCTCTCCCCTCCCTTCTCCGCCCAGCGACTCCTTTGTGCCTTCCTCCAGCCCTCACCTCGGCCTCTCCGATCCCAATTAGTCGGTTTCAAGGGGGCCCCCGCCGGCGGCCCCGCCCTCTCCTCAGCCCCCCAAAAATGGGATCCTTGAAACCGCCCCGTCGAGCTCTAAGCACCATCCCAAAATGTTCTCTCGGCCAATGAGATTTAAACCCGAGGATCAGCCCCGAGGGCTGGATTGGTCAACCACAACATAATGAGATCAGAAACCAGATGCCAACAAAACTTTCCCCCCCACCTCCTTTTGCTTTTTAAAGAGACAAGCTATTATTATATTAAGGGCTTTTTGCCCAGCACGGGATTTCTCTGGAGTCGCGGCGGCGAGACCCGGAGACACACGTTCCCCGAACTGCGGCGGACCCGAGTCACTCAACCCTGGATCACTCTTCTTCCGGGGGGCCACGGCGCTCTCCGGGGCAGGGCCTCTTTAAATCCTTGCCTCCGCCCCTGCTCCTCGAACCCCACCTATTCCAGTCCAATATTTCAGATCAAGTAAAAAAAATATTAAGTTTGAGAAAAAATTGTTTAAGGGAGAGATTTTTTTAAAAACTATCAGTTTACAAAGACTTTTCTCTCAGCCCCTTCCCATGGAATCCAGGCAAAATTTTCTGTCGCCCTATATGTAGACCCCTAGGAGTTTGCCTCGCTCCTCCCCCTGCATACACCCTTAAATAACCCTCTGAAAAACGAGAGCCTGTCTCTTTAAGAGGCTCTTAAAGGGGCCTGGACTCCGGGGCGTAATTGCCCCGTAGCGAGCACAAAGGAGCCCATTATGGTTCTTTGTGTTCGCTGGCACCTCAAAGTGAGAAAACTCAGGAACTCAGAGGCCCTGAGCTGGAGGGTTGGGGCAGGGGTGGGAGGGGGTGAGGTGAAGGAGAATGGCCTAGAGCTGCGGCTTCTCCCTCCCCTTTCTTCCGAGGCAAGTCTTAATTATGCAAAGTAAAGTTTAGTTGCCATAACGAGGAGGTCTTAATCGGAGGTTAATGGTGGGGAGCGGGGGATGACGAGCGGTTCTGAGCTGAAGAGATGACTCTTTTAGGACGTTTGGGGGAATTTTCCTCCTCTCTCTCCACCTCTGCCCCCGCCCCCTAAAAGCTTCCAGATTTGGTCTCCTAGGAGAGAGGGGAGTTTTACCCAGATCTTAAGTGATTCCACACCAGAAACGGGTGGTGCGTGTGGCGAGGGAGGAGGCTGGGGGGTAGTGTGGATTACCCCCCCCCCCACACACACACACACACACACACACTTACCTGGCTGGGGGTGGATGGCGGTGGCCAGCAGGGTTCCGGCTAGCTTAGAAAGGTTTTCTTCTGTTTTCTGCCTTCTTGGATTTTAAGCTTGAGAGGGGGTTCTGGGGAAGAGAGGGGGAATTTGCATGTAAATCTCCTGGGCCTGGTACTGGATGATGGATCAAATATTTTTATTGTCTCTCAGAGGGAAGGGGGGACACGTAAAAAGAAGAAAGAAAATTGAGTTTAGAAAACCCCTTTGCTTCGCTGTATGGGCCAAATCCTCCCAGCCTGGCGAGCTGTTTCCTGATCCAATCTAGAAAAGGACTGCTTTAAAAACAAAACCAAAAAACAAACAACAACAAAAAGAGAAAAAAAGAAGAGAATAGGAAGAAGGAAAGAAAATTCTAAGTCATAGATAAAAACAATGGATCCAGGTTTGATAGGATTCAATTTTTTTTTTTTCTTGATTGAATGAAATACAGATTTTCAGGTTCTTTACAACATGAAAATTCTCCTTATCACTTCCTGGACAGGTCTACTTTCCACTACTTTAGGCAGAAAGATTCCCTTCAAAATCAGGGGGCTATGCCTTAGCTCTCCGTTTTATTTCCATTCCACCCACAAGTCCACCTTCACCCCAGAGCAGTCTAGGGATGGGAAAATTGTGCTGTCCTGCTCTGTGGGACCCAAACTAAGCCCAAGGTGCTGCTCCTTCAAATCTCCCCTCCTACTCTACCTCCAGGACTTCTCTAGAGCTGGTACCAAGCCTCTGAGTTGAGCGGTGAAAACAAAAAATGAGTAAGACAGGTTCCTCCACTCTACTCAGGAAGCTCTCACAGTCCGGTAGGAAATTGAGAGTAAATCTCCAATAGAAATGCAGCATCTTCAATTTCCTTCCATGACAAACCTGTTTTCCTACCCTTGGGCCAGACTTGAGTGACAAGTGACAGCTATCCCTTCCCCAGCCACCCCCAAGGCAAAGGGGGAGCTGAAGCTGGAAAAAAGAAATAAAAGACATCCTTTCATTCATTCAGTCAACCTTTCATTCTGCAACACATTTTTATTGAGTCTTCTGATTTTAGACCACTGTGGTAGGTGCTGTGGGCAAGACAGAGAAAAATGGCAGCATCCCTGCCCTTTATGAGTTTACGGTATCCCAGAAGAAAAGTGATTCTATGAAGATCTTACATTTATCTAGCATTTTTACCTGAAATGGATACCTAGTAATTGTAATTACTTAGGTTTATCGAGCACTTACTAAGCACTGCGCATACATTATGTGTATGCCTACAAAGTAGGTATTGCATTGTGTTTATGGATGAAGAATCTGACCTTGATGAGATTTGGCAACTTTCTCAAGGTCACGTAGTAAATGGCAGAGCTGAGATTTAAACCCAGGCCTGCTTGAATCTTAAAGCTGTGTTCTGTCTCCTACACCACACAGCCCCTAATGTCTATAAAAATTGTGTGCTTTTACGCACTTAGCAAATATATATTGACCATCAGACCCAACCCCTATTCCTGTGGAGCTTATATTCTAGTGGGAGAGATTCACAGTCATCACATAGTCGCTTTCTTCTTTGGCGGTACGCGGGCCTCTCACTGTTGTGGCCTCTCCCGTTGCGGAGCACAGGCTCCGGATGCGCAGGCTCAGCGGCCATGGCTCACGGGCCCAGCCTCCCCGCGGCATGTGGGATCTTCCCGGACCGGGGCACGAACCCATGTCCCCTGCATCGGCAGGCGGACTCTCAACCACCGCGCCACCAGGGAAGCCCACATAGTCACTTTAATGGATGTGAAATTGCCGCAGGATTGAGTGCTACGAAGGGAAAGTCCATGGTGCTATGAAAGCATAATTGGGGAGGGAATTTGACTGAGGTGGAGAGGGCAGAGGAAGCCTCTGAGGTTGGACTGAGGAGTAAAATAGGATGTGGTAAAGAGAGGCCAGCAGGTGTGACACCTGCAGGGCCTTGCAGACCATGTGTAAGGTGCTAGGTATACAAATGTGAACCTAGGGGCTTTCCCTGGTGGTGCAGTGGTTAAGAATCCGCCTGCCAATGCAGGGGACACAGGTTCAAGCCCCGGTCCAGGAAGATCCCACATGCCACGGGGT